ATTTTTGGGCGAAAGCCACAAATACTGCTTGTTATGTTATTAACAGAGTAATGATTAGGCCTATTTTAATGAAAACTCCATATGAAATTTTCATAAATAAAAAGCCTAACATTAGCTATTTTCATCCTTTTGGATATAAATGTTTTGTTTTAAACAACGGTAAATACAATCTTGACAAATTTGATGCTAAAAGTGATGAAGGAATTTTTTTGGGTTATTCCTTAAATTCTAAAGCTTATCGTGTATTTAATAAAATAACTTTAGTGGTAGTGTTGGGACCGTCGGCGCACCCCATGGTGCGGCAAAAACAAAACTCGACGGTCTCACCAGCGATCCAAGTACGAAAAAACTGAAATCGGGATAAAGAGATACGAATACTTACAGCGGGTTCCTTGAAAAACAACAAGAACATCAGTGAATATTGGTGGTGTAAACCGGTTCGAATCGTAAGCCTCCACGATATTATGTCTCGGTCTCTACTCAGTTCACCCGATTGAGAGCAATTTTGTTTTCCCCCAAAACCGTTTTGAGAGAAAATGACTGAAGGTTTTGTGTGTGTTCTCTAAAACGGCTGCTAGACCTAGCACACCCTTTTATAGCCAAGTTACCCTAATCATATTAGGGTTTTTATTATTTCAAATTAATTAAATCTATATTTAATTAATTGGAATTTAATAATCCTTTTATATCCAAATTACCCTAATCATATTAGGGATTTTATTATTTCAAATTAATTAAATATATATTTAATTAATTAAAATTAAATATTTGAGATTATTAAAACATATACTTAATTAACTCTAGATATATTTTTGTATCGTACAACAAATTGTACATCTTTGCTCGTTTTAATCCTAGGGTTCGACCTTGTAGGTTCTTGAAACGTTAGTTGTAATTATTAGAACAATTCTAATATTACATACAATGAGTGACATATAGCAATATATCATTGTCACCTAAGTTACAAGAAAATATGATTCGACATATCATCTTGGTGATTAACTCTTTTATGTATTACATCCTTATGTCCTTTATATCTAGAATAGGCACAAGTCTTGGAATAGTCACACTTGTATAGCCCAACTATTGTTTCTTGATATCTAGAGTAGACTTTAATTAACGAATAGTTTATGATATTTCATATCAACTTATTTGAGCATGGCCATGCGTTTCTAGTCTTACTCAATCAAGTGGACTGTGATATATTTCTTATTATGTAGGAAGGACAAATCCTATCTTAATCATACACACCCACTACATATATTGAGATATATTCAATAACAGTCTTTATAGAGCAACCAGTTACACAACTTGTTTATCTGCATCAAAACATACAACAATATATGTTGGGATAATATTGATCTTAAGTCTGAGGATCATACATATAGTCATCACCATGAGCAATGTTATGACTGTCACATAATAATCCAAGACATATGCTCATGGTGGGTCAATCCAATACATTGTTCTCTAACAATATAATCATGTATCAATTCTGACATCTCTATGTCAATGACAACTCATTGTCATCAATCAATAACATGTTAGTCTTAAGCGTATTATTATTGTCCATGCCCATAATAATACTTGATTAGGGATCTTTTAATAATAACAATTATGTCATTATATGGACTTTATTATCTTCCAGTTTATGTTAAACACATATATATAACTGAAAATAATAGTGGCAATGCCTTTATTCAATAAAATCGATAAATAAAAGTATTATTACAATCATCATATGATTGGTCTTTGGGCATACTCTAATAGGTAGAAGAGTCTATTCATGTTTTTTTTATGGTAATCCCCTTCCGAGGAAGGATTCTTGTGTTTATGATGACGTAGGTATTATAAATGCAAATGACGTTGAAGAACCATCGTCAAAGAAAGAAGTGAAGGATAAGGAAACTCAAGATGCCTTCAAGAATATAATCATTGAAGAAAGAAAAATCACATACCCAAGAGAGTACAACTATATCAAGGATGGTGAGATATTAGGTAATCCATCCAAATGGGTAACTACTCGATCTTCTCTTAGGGACATTTGTAATTATGTTGCATTTATCTCATGCATAGAGCCTAAAAATGTTAAAGAAGCATTAACCGATTAAAATTGGATTATATCTATGCAAGAAGAGTTAAATAAATTTGAGAGAAGTAAAGTATGGACATTAGTTGAAAGGCCTAGTAATAAATCTACTATAGGTACTAAATGGGTGTTTAGGAACAAACTAGATGAGAGTGGTAATATAGTGAGGAACAAGGGTAGACTTGTTGCTCAAGGGTATACTCAAGAAGAAGGAATTGATTATGGTGAAACATATGCTCTCGTAGTTAGGATGAAAGCAATTAGAATATTGTTGGCATTTACATGTTTCAATGAATTTAAATTATACTAAATGGATGTTAAAATTGCATTTTTAAATGGTTTTATAAAATAAGAAGTGTATGTGGAACAACCTCCTATATTTAAAGATTCAAAATTTCCAAATCATGTTTTTAAATTGACAAAAACACTATATGGTTTAAAACAAGCTCCTAGAGCTTGGTATGAAAGATTGTCAAACTTTTTAATTGAAAAAGGTTTTTCAAAAGGGAAGGTTGACACTACATTTTTTATAAAAAGAAAAGGTAAAGATTTATTGGTAGTTCAAATTTATGTTGATGATATAATATTTGGTTCTACTAATGATGCTCTTTGCCAAGAATTTTCTAAGCTAATGTAAAGTGAATTTGAGATGAGCATGATGGGTGATCTTTCATTTTTCTTAGGGCTCCAAATCAAGCAAAGGAAAGATAACATCTTCATCAATCAAGAAAAGTATGTTCAAGATATGCTCAAAAAGTTTGGATTGGAAAATGTGAAACCCTAAGCCACTCCTATGAGTTCTTCTACAAAGCTTGACCAAGATGAAGGAGGTAAATATTTCGATGTTAAATTTTATAGGTCAATGATTGGTTCTTTACTTTATCTAACCGCAAGTAGACCGAACATTATGTTTAGTGTTTGCTTATGCGCTAGATTTCAATCATGCCCTAAGGAATCACATCTACAAGCCATTAAGAGAATCTTTAGATACCTTAAGGACACTCATAGTATAGGACTTTGGTATCCTAGAGACTCTAGCTTTAGCTTGCATGCTTTCTCTGATGCTGATTATGGAGGATACAAAATAGATAGGAAAAACACCTCCGCTACTTGTCAATTCCTAGGAAATATGCTAATTTCTTGGTTTTCAAAGAAACAAAATAGTGTTGCATTATCTACCATTGAAACAGAATACATTTCAGCCGATAGTTGTTGTGCACAAGTTTTATTGATGAAACAACTTTTAGACTATGGAATTGAAGTAGGTACCATTCCTATCAAGTGTGACAATAATAGTGCTATTTGTCTCACAACAAATCCCATCCAACACTTTAGAACTAAACACAATGAAATTAGGTTTTAGAATTTGTAGTTTTAGAATTTGTATATACTTTGCATCAATTATCTGATATTTTTACAAAACCTTTAGATAAAGAAAGATTTTGGACACTTAGGAGAGAATTAGGTTTAACCAACCTACCTTGATTTTGTGTTTAAAATAATTTTACCACTTTTAATGATTAAGGGAAAATGCATGTAAAAATAACATTTTTGAATGTCTTCTAAGCTAATAGTTAGGGGAGTTTATGATCTTTAGAGAAAATTAATAATATGTTCAAATAAAATTTAACGGTAGATTTGATTGAACATAGTTAATTTTTGAAATATGAGTTGCTTATACCACTAGAGATGATTTATTTTGCATGCTAAGTGTTTAAATACATATTTTTGACAATTGTGTGCATTGGGTATCGATATTGGTCACCCAGTACTGATACCTCTCCTTCTAGGTATCAATATTGTTCTTAACGGTACCGATACACCTTGAATGTGTATCGATACCCCTCGAAGGGTACCGATACCCCCTGTCTGGTTTAGGCTTTAAAATCCCTAAAAATCAACATTTTTGCCAAAACCTATTATAAACACTCTCTCGCCGTTCCTCTCTAAAATATCCCTAAATCTCCTCATTGCTTTATTCCTTCGATTTCAAGTCGGAAAACTTTTGTTCCTCAACTCCTAATCCTACCAAGATCATCAAATTCGTGCAAACAACACCACATTCCTTCTCAATCCTATTTTTCAAGGTAAACTTTTTTAAAATACTGTTTCATTGATTTTTGAACATAGGACTAGTTTTAGTTAGTTTTAGTTTAAATTAGTGTTCGAGCATTTAGTAGATTATGATTTTACACTATAATCTACAAGAAATTTTATAAAAAACACAAGATTTTTCTGATTTTTTTTGTTTTCGAAATAAAAAATTATTTTCGTTTTCAATTGATATTTTTGATCTAATTATATTATTTTCATGAAAACTATACATATTATGATTTTCAAACTTCGTTTTTCAAAATAGTTTTCAATATTACCCATTAGACACTAAGTTAGAGAACCTTGAATATTGAGGACTCATATTGAGTTTTGGGATTAATTGTGTTGTATACATATGTTGTTTAATTGTAGGTTTAACATTCCAATTTCCTAAACCATGTCTAAACGAGCTAGGTTATATTCTAGTCGTTCCTCCTAACCACAAAATACACCTCCTATTCCACCACAAAATCCTATCCTAATGAACCCAAGATGATCATTCTAAACTCTTGCTTTAACGAACCTAACCGTATAGGTCTTTACTCAAGATACGTTAACCATTTTGAGTCTTATAACATTAGGGAAGAGCGTATCCCGTCTCTCCAAGATATGAAAGAGATGAAATTCAAATACCTCCATACCCTCAATTTATGGAAATTTGATAATCTTTTTAATATTAAACCAGTTGTTTATCACCAACTAGTTCGTATTTTCTACTCTAATGCGGTGCGTGTACAAAATGAGTCCCGAACCACAACTAAAAGTATTCGCTCCTATATTTTGGGGCAATACATCACTATAGACTCGAACTATATAGCTAACACATTTGGTCTTGATAATCGAGGGTTAAATAATGAGCGAGAATTAGTGCGCTCACCTTATAAATTCAAGTATAGTATGAGTGTTTTAGATTACCATGAACATTTTCTTCATCTTATAATCTCTTGGTGATTCAGACCATCCGGAGAAAAATACTCCACGTTTAGAGCCATTGACTTATGGTGGATACATTGTATCCAGCAAAATAAGAAAATAAATCTCCCTCAAATTATCTTTGGGGAACTTGTAGAAACTGTAAATAACATTTCTTCTAAACATTTTGAAACATTAGTTTACGACTGTCTACTTAGTAATATGTTTATGAAAGTTGGTCTTAAGGTAGAATTAGACATAGCCATCCCTCTAACCACATAAATCAACAAAACATCTTTACGAAAATTGGGATGGACTGGAGACAAAGACCAATGGGTTAGATCAACAAAGAAAATCCCCAGTGCTAGCTCTTCACAAGCTGCTCTGGCTCCAGCTGCTGCTCAAGAGCTTGAAGACCTCTTACGGGATGTCGACGATCTCGTAAACTAGACCGAGGAGGAGCCAACCAGGCAAGATAGTTCAATGCCTCCATACTTTCAGTCTTTTATGGAGATATTGGATTTGAGGTTCGTATCCTTAGAGTCTCATTTGACTGCTATGGGAACTCAACAGTTGGAGAATCAAAGGGAATTTCGAGCTCAACGTGAAGCAATGGATATTCGATTCAATGATGTAGATGAGAGACTCGATGCACTAACACGCGATGTTGTTTTCCTTAGAGGACATCGGTTTGATCTTGATCCTCCTACGGATGATTGACCACTCTTGCTAGTTTTCTTATGTGGCATTATGAACTTAGCATTGTTAAACATTTTGGATATTTGGATATTTGGTTTGAATGTTTGCTTGTTTTGGATGTTTTTGGTTGATTCTGGATGATATTAGTATTTTGAACTTAAATTGAACTTTTATGTTTGATTATGCATCATTTACATTTTAGATCAATTATGATCAATTCATATCGCATATTGTTTATGAATATTGATTATATGAACTAATGACTAATATTTCTCTTGACTTTGATCTTAGCAACTATATGCATATATATACATCAATTTGGCAAACTTGTTTTAAAATGAAACATAAAGTCTTTTTGATTTAACAAAAATGGAGAGAATATAGAAAGGGGGAGTGGAGAGTAATTTTTCAAAAATGATTTTTGAAAAGAAAATCTTAAAATTTCAAAAATGTTTGGTTATATCAAAAAGGGGGAGATTGTTCAAAACATTTTGATATTTCGATATAACAATTAAAGTGTTAAATAATTTTAAGATTTTATATACAATTTAAATATTATATTCGATTTAATTATTCAAATATCACAAATATTACTCCAAGTTTTCAAATATCAATTTTTACTCCTTACTAGATGGAAAATTGAGATTAAGGAGTAAAAATTGATATTTATACTTAAAGTATTTTTGAAATAATTTTTACAAAGTATTTCAAACCATAATCGAGTCAAAATTAAGTTTTTAATTGGGAAGTACCGATACCCCTTAAACATCGAATGCAAAAGAGGTACTGATACCCTACAGGGTATCAATACCCCTTAGTACCGATACCTAGCTGAAGGTAATGATACCCCATCTTTTGATTTTGACTCTGAGAAATAACAGAATGCAAAATGGGTACCAATACCATGACAGGTATCGATACCTCTTTATATAGTAGTATCGATACCCCCTTGAGAGGTACCAATACCATTGGTTTTGCAACAGTCAAAATATTTGAGTTTTATACAGGTAGTATCGATACCCTATAAAGGAGTATCAATACCCATATGCTCCCAACAGCTTTTTGAAGTGGATTTCACACCACAACGGATCTATTGACTTCATGATCATCCCCAACGATCAGAATTCATTCAAAGGGTATTTAAACAAGTCTTGAAGCCATTGATGAAATACAAGAAACAAGTTTTGAGAAAGAATTCAAAGAGAGAAAGCCTTAAACTTATTGTTTGAGCAATTCAAGCCAAAATCCATTCAATATTCATTTTGCTTTCAAGAGCACCATTTGTGCTCAATTATATTCATTCTTGAGTATTATTTCTTTGTTTTAGAACTGTGCAAACATCTTACCTTGTGAGGTTTTTCTGTAAGTTTGCAAAATTTGTAAGTTTCTCTTTGAGAGAGAGTAGTCTCAAGAATTTGGGGTATAATTCTTGAGGGAATTGTAAGGTTACTCTTTGTCCTCAAAAGATAGACAAATTAGTTTATTTTTAGATAATCCTTAGTGTGGATAGCTAAGGTAGTGGACGTAGACTTTGGTTGAGAAAGTTGAACCACTCTAAATCGCTGTACAAATAATTTCAATTTTCTGTCAAAGCTTCCACCAAAATTTTAATTGCCGATTCACCCCCTCTTGGCCGATTTATCTGATCGATTAAATCAACAAATACTAAGGGAAGTATTTTATGATAAAAAGTTTAGGTAGACTACTAATCTCTCAAGGAACTTCTAGGCCAACTTATAGGGGGTTTAGGAGTCGGTTACGCTTTGATCTATTAGTGATTTTATCCCAAACAACAATTTTCTGAAGAGATCTCTTTGTGGGACTTGGAAGATGATTCAAATAGAATCGTAGTTTCGAGAAAATAAATATACACTCGAGGATATCTATAACAAACTTACAGCGGTGTCTTTTGTTTAACTATATTTTATAATATTTTGATAAAACAAATTAAGGCAAAATGTTTTTGGACTTGATTGAATTTGTTCAAAGTTTTCAAAAATAATTTAAAGTCCATGAAACTAGAATTTGAGCACAAAACAATTTTTCAAGGTACATAGTACTGATATTGTTCTTACAGTATCGATATTACATGAATAATATCGATACAATTCATGTGGTACCGATACCAAATGTAAGAGAAATATCAATACTCTCTACTTAGTATTGATACTACCAGTTGTTTTCCAAATTGCTCAAATTACATAATGCAAAATAGGTACCGATACTCAAAGCGATACCGATACAACTTTACACAGTGGTATTGATTCCATAAAGCATAGTATCGTTACTCTTCAAGCCTAACAGTCTTCAATGGCTAGTTCATTTAAATATTACAAAGGAAGTTCCGATACTCATGAAAGGAGTACCGATACTCCCTATCCTGTGTAGTTTTATTTTGTAGAAAATTTATCCCCAATGGCTCCAAAACATCCGCACCGGCTAGCAACGACCATAAACTTATTCCAACATATAAAAACAAGTTGAGGACACTAAAATAAGGTTGGAACACCTATCCAAGCAATTGAGATCAAGAAAAAAGCTATTTCACTCTTATTTTTCCTTTTCTATAGTACATAAGTGTTTTTGAGCTCAATGTAAATCTTTCTATTGTTTTCTTGTGAGCTTAAATTTTTTAAACACCCTTCCGTTTGATAGGTTTTTCTTATTTACATCTTATACATTTGTAAAAGGGGATTGATTCTAGCTTAGCCTTTGAAAAACTAGGGAGTTGTAAAGGTTGTCTCTTTCCCTTGCAAAAAAAGAAAAAGAAAAAAAGAGAACAAATTAGTGAATTTGCTGAAAAATCCTTAGTGAAGAGCTAAAGTAGTGGATGTAGACTTGGTTGAGAAGTCGGTCCACTATAAATCTTTATGCAAATTGTCTCATCTTTATACTCCTTAATCCCTAATCTCAAAAAGCCAATTCACCCCCTATTGGCAAATTTATTCATTTGTTTAATTGAGCTTCATCGAAATACCAATAATTGGTATCAAAGTTTGATTCATTATAAGGTTTAACAACCTTGAGACGATCCTTGAATAAGCTCTATCCATTTTTGACACAACCGAGAAGATGGCTTCCACTTCCGGCTCGTTCTACATGGAAGACTCCCAACCGATCGACAAGCCTACATACTTCAATAGAGCTAACTACCGTCATTGGAAGAAATTAATGAATCTATTCATACAATTCAATGATCTTGATACATGGGAGATGATCGAGAATGTCTACTATTCTCCAAAAAATAAGACGAAGGAGTTGAGTGCCTAAGAACAGAAGAAAACTCAACAAAAAATGCTAAAGCCATGCACATGTTGTTTTGTCCATTTGGTCCCGATATTTATGAAGGAGTTTATTTTTATTCAAATGACAAGGAGCTTTGGAATAAGATCGATGAACTTCATTGTAACAAGAAAGAAGAACCACCAAAGGTAGTATGATTAGTGGCTCTTGAAGAGCCCGAGGTATCTTCTAACTCTAATGAATCTAATTCAAATTCTTTTGACGAGTTACAAGATGCATATGATGAATTATTTTTTGAGTTTGAGACCATAAACTCCAAATACAAGAAAATGATTTCAAAATCTAAAATTAAAAACGAATTTCTTTTGAAAACAAAATTGGATTTTGAAAAGCAAAATGAAATTTTGAAAAATGATTTAGAGCTTTCAAAAGTGAAAATTGAAAATTTTGAAAAAATGTTTTGATTTAAAAGTTAAGCTTGAATGCTTAACAAAAGAAAAATAAATCATTTTAAATAATTAATCTAGTTCCATAATGACAAAATGCTCACATTTTCATTATCATGATCACAAGGGACATACTTGTCCTTTAAAGAAAAGAAAACGTTTTAAAATTAAACAAGTATGGATTCCTAAGGGAACAAGGAAAACATTTTAAAATTAAACAAGTATGGATTCCTAAGGGAACAAGGGGCATTGAAACTAACGTTCAAGCATCCAAAGCAATTTGGATACCAAATTCCTAATAAATGTCTCTTGTAGGTGTGTGGGAGGAATGATGATGAAAGTGAAGATACTCAAATGCTCTAGTTACCCTTGGAAAGGAATGTGTAACCTTTAAGCTTATTTTGATTATCTTTAATAATCGGTTGCTCATTTGGTTTAAGCATGCAAGAGTTTTGATTTTAAATAATTTTATGTTTTCTATCTCATGTATGTTAAAAAGAATTGTGATGAACATTTTCTAAAGCTTTAATGATTTTTCATAAATGTTTGTTCATTATAATGAATAAATTGGTTTTAATTTTTTTTTACAAATTTAAATTTTTTACCTTAATTTAAATGTTTATGCATGTGATTTGTTCAAATACATAACATTTTTGGATAGCCTTATGCACATGCACTTAAATACAAAAATTGGTATTGCATAAATCATAGTAGACTTGGATATATTAAATTTCATGTGCTACTAACATGTTTTTTCATCTTTGTTGAAATTCAATGTCTTTTAAGTGTCAAGCTTTTAAAGTCAAATTTTTGTTTGGAATGTATTTATTGAGGGGGAGCTTTGATTTTTAAAATGATTTTAATATTAAAATTACTACTTACTCTTCATTATTGTTTTGTACCTTAAAATTGAATTATTTTTATATAACAAAAATGAGGAGAACTATATGTTTGAAAAATTCAATTTCTCAATGAAAAGGGGGAGATTTAATATTTTCCAAATAATTCTTTATTTCATGAAATATTTTATTAAGGGGGAGTTTTGCCAAAACATTTTTTTTAAAATGTTTTGTTATATCAAAAAGGGGGATATTGTTGAATTATGTTTTATAATATTTTGATATAAAAATTAAGGCAAAATGTTTTTGGACTTGATTGAATTTGTTCAAAGTTTTCAAAAATAATTCAAAGTTCATTAAACTAGAATTTTAGCACAAAACAGTTTTTTAGAGTACGTATTACCGATACTGTTCTTACAGTATCGATACTACATGAATAGTATCGATACTATTCGTGTGGTATCGATACCAAAGGTAAAGAAGTATTGATATTCTCTAGGTAGTATCGATACTACCAGTTCTTTTTCAAATTGCTCAAATTCTAGAATGTAAAATAGGTATCGATACTTAAAGGGGTACCGATACTTCTTTACACAGTGGTATCGATACCATGAAGCATAGTATCGATACTGGTCAAGCCCAACGGTCTTCAATGACTAGTTTATTTCAATATTACAAAGGAAGTACCGATACTCCCTCTCCTGGGTAGTTCTATTTTGTAGAAAATTTATCCCAAACAGCTCCAAAACATCCCCAACGGCTAACAAAGGCCACAAACTCATTCCAACATATAAAAACAAGTTGAAGACACTTGAAGAAGGTTGGAACACCCATCCAAGCAATTGAGATCAAGATAAAAGTTGTTTCACTCTTATTTTTCCTTTTATCTTGTACATAAGTGTTTTGAGCTCATTGTAAATCTTTCTATTGTTTTCTTGTGAGCTTAAATTTTGTAAACACCCTTCCTTTTGAGAGGTTTTTATTGTTTACATCTTATATCTTTATAAAAGGGGATTGGTTATACCTTAGCCTTTGAAAAGCTAGGGAGTTGTAAATGTTATTTCTTTATCCTACAAAAAGAAAGAACAAGTTAGTGAATTTGTTGGAAAATCCTTAGTGATGAGATAAGGTAGTGGATGTAGACTTGGTTGAGAAGTCGAACTACTATAAATCTTTGTGAAAATTATTCATATTTATACTCCTTACTCCCTAATCTCAAAAGTCAATTCACCCCTCTTGACAAATTTATTCGGTTGTTCAATTGAGCTTCATCAAAATTCTAACATTTTTAAACTCCCAGATTCCAAATCACAAAAGATCTGTGAGACAACATCGATTTTGCCTAAGGAGTTCTTGATAGGGATGGTAAGCAGAAGCAAACCACTCCTTGTTAGTGAAAGAACAAACTCTGGTGCTTCACTTTTATCAGTACTTGCAGAGATGGATTTGTCATCTTTAGGAATTGCACCTACAACAATAAGGTACTATCAATAAAATAAGAATTCTAGGGCATAAACAAAATTGAACTGAATGTTGGAGTCCTAGTTTTTTAGGCATGAAAACTACCCACCTGCACCATCAGAGAAATTGCCAATATTTTGATCAATTTCTTCTGAACATATTTTCATTCTCTTAGTATCATCATTTGCATTAGAACATCCTGAACTTCCGGAGATATCACCGTTAAAGGGACCAACAAACTAGAAAAATATTCTAACAATTAACAAGCATTAACATCAACAATAACAGTACAACAGCTATCCATTATGTAATAAAAGCAATACCAGAAAGTTGTTTCCATTAAAACTAGAAAGAAAAAAAGTGCAGATGCAATTTATCCCTTAAACTCTCTTTTATAAAAGGGTAACTATAGAAATTCAAAGGTGATATACAATTTATATGATCAAAGGCACCAATTCATTGATTTGGCATCATTGTATTAAAAGAAAACCACACTCTACATGATCAAAGGTATCCAAGTTTTACTTAAACATATATTCATTATTTAAGAATCCAACAGTCGTCGATTGTGGCACTCAAAGGGAGAACTTTAATTGCTTCATGTTTCTTTCTACCATTGACTGTCCAAGGTTTTGTCTTTCTTGTTCTCGAATCCCATGAAAACAATCCCCATACATGGTTAAATGAAATAAACAATTAATAATGCCTTGAATAGGAATGATATATCAAAACTGAGATGAAAAGACAAAACCTTTTAAAAGATAAACATGTTTTTTTCCTAGTGCTCTTCTCCCTTTCTGATAACAAGAGAAACGAAAATATCAAAACCCCATTTCCAAACTTAGGGAGAGAAGAGAAGATGAAAGAAAATGAGTGGACGGGACTCTGACGTACTAATAGTGCAAGTGATGAGAAAAATGGAGTAAGAGTGTTAAAGTAAAGAAGAATGAGCCTTGTAATCGAAACGAGGGATGATTGTAATTTTGGCGTTGTAATCACAAATTTTATCCCAAAAAAATCATTACAGGCATACCCTGCCACCTTTGCCTCGATGCCCATATTGCAATACCACCATGCCCTGCTACACCAACACTCCACGCTACACCAAAACTCCACGCCACCACCATGTTCCTCATCACCAAACAAGCAAACAAAAATAAGATTTGTAAAGAAGACATTAAAAAAAAAACTTGTAAACATGGGTTATAAAAAACCCAAAGTAACACGTAATTTCGCCCCCTGATATTCGAATACAAGCATATTAAAGGTTTCTTTCTTTATTTCCATTTTTTCGGCAACTTCTTGTCATTTTCGAAACAAAACTAAGTAGAAAGGAAATAAAGGGGTCGGTTACCTTAGTTGTTTGAGCTCCTCCTCAGAGTTTCTGTCACATCCCAAAATATGGCCTAAAATTCTCTTAAAAAT